TAAGTCACTGGACAGAAGTGGCAGAACTGGCTGCAGACTGAGTCCCCCTCTGTGCAGGACTTAACCCCAGGCCTTCCCTGCCACCCAAGGAGTGGAGGTTGCCATGGGAGCCCCAGAGGGCTGCCCCAGGAGTCAAATCTCTGCTACTCAGAAAAGCTTCAGCTTATAATCCATGAATGCTGCTTTTGACTTGACCTGTGTGTATGTGCATGTCGTCTAGGATGTGTGTGTGGTGTGTGATGCTTGTGTGTGGTACACGTGAGGGAGGTGTGTAATGTGAGTGTAGAGTTTGCATTGTGTATGGTGTCTGTGTGCTTTACGGGATGGTGTGGTGGGGGCGGGTGATGTATGGGCAGGGGCAGGGGCGGGAAGTGACCAGACTGACATGCACATGGACAACTCCCTCTCCGTCCTCCCCTGCAGGCTCTGTAAAAAGGCCAGAAAGACACAGTCATGACCAAGGTGTACAAACAGAACCCCACTTTATTAGCAGTTAGTTCAAGATTGTACATTAATGGAGGAAGGTTCCCACTTCTAACACAACCCAAAACGGCTGTTCGAGAGCCCTGATCAGGTGAGCTGGGTAGCACCGTCTCTCCCCCGTCTCCCCACCCCCACAAGGGCAGGAAACCTCTGCCTGCTCCCCTAACGTGCCCCCCACCCTCTCCGGTCAGCCCTCTCTCCCCAGGAAATGACATGAATTTCATGCACAAATTACAAAAGGAGCCCTCTTGTGATAATAGAAGCTAGCAATCATAGAAAGCCCTCTCCCCCCTCATTCTCAGGGTTAGAGGAAGGAAGGAGAAGGTGGGATGAAGGGACTGGGAGAAAACAAGCCAGAGCCTTCCCAGGCCCGTGATGCTGACTGTCCTGCAAAGTGCAAGCCAGTCCCTGCTGGGAGCTGAGAATGGCTCCGGCCACCTGAGCTGGCGAGGGCAAGCCCAGGGCACCTGGGCCTCCCCCCAGAGCCAGGGGGTGTCTGGCCCTCTACCTCACTGCCACCACAGCAGCTTCCTTCTCCAACTTTTTTGAAACCCTCTGCGGCCCCAGCTGCCCCTTCTCTAAATGAGAAAGCAAGCCCACAGGGGTAACTGTCCTGCAGATCCAAAAGCACTCGCTGGGAGGAACCCTCAGAGCTCCACCTCCACCCAAGTGCTCTTCTCCTCACACCACAGTGGGGGAGACAGCTCCCCATGGAGGCCCTTCTGTGCGGAGCATCTCAGGAGGGCAAGCCCTGCTCTTATAAACGCAGACTCTGGGGCTTCAGAAACCACCCAACAGAGCGGTCTGTGGTGCAGCGCCAGGCGTGAGGGGCAGCAGGGTCTCTGAGCAGACCCTCACCCCACAGGCCCACCCGGCCTGATGCAGCCTCAGGCCCACCTCCCAGCCCCTCCCCCACCCCGGCTGGCCCCCCAGCGCCTGTGTCTCAGGAGCCAGGGGCTCCCCCTCGCTGGCTGGACAGTGGAGGAGTCTTAGGCTGGACTGCAGCTGTCAGGTCAGCACACAAGACAAAAATCCCACATAGCCGCAATGCCCCGAGACAGAGCACCGTGTTCTGTGACGGGGAGGAACAGACACCCGAGGGCGAGGCCTCCAGCCGGCCCACTAGCGTCCTGGCGCCACAGAAGCCAAGTGAGCCGACCCCATCTCAGCGCACTGGCAAGAACAGCTCTGCCTTCTGGTGTACATTCTTTTACTCAGTATAAATAGTAATGCTGATTTACTTTTTAAAAATCAAAGTGAGCAGAAGAAAAGGGTTTTTAAAAAGAGTTACAAAATGCAACCTGTGCACCTTGATTGGATCCTGATTCCCAAACCAGGTGACGAGTTGTGTGGAGGGTATGGAATCCGAATATAGATGGAACAGCAGGTATTAACGACTTGGGTGTGATATTTGGCCGCTATGTGGGACTCTCGCTCTCAGGAGACA